GATAGTAGAAAGATAAAGATTACGGAAAGGATAACAGAGAGAAAAAGGAAAGCTCTTAATCAAAATGGAAGGCTGAAAAGATCTCATATTGGAGGATCAACAGCGAAACTTTCCTGTGCTTGTGTTTCTTCACTAACAGGACATCTTTCTGGTGTCCCTCAAGAAAGAACTTACAGGAACAGTAAGATAGATAATGTAAAAAAACAAATAGCTGGAAAAACCAAGAGGCTTGGAAGAGACTACGAACGAAACGTGATAATGCGAAGCAAATTTCCTGGTTTGTGAACTCTAAGTCCCTTATGCTCTTGCTATAGTATTAGTAAAAATCACATCACACCAATGAATTCTCGTGCGTGCAATTCCCTCACACACACACATTTCCCTAATAGTCTATATAGTACTAAGTAGTGCAATCTTTTCCGGAATAATCATCTCTTTTATTTAATTTTATCATTAAAGTATTTTTATTCATTTGTCTTTAAAACAATATAAAATTAGTCTTAAAAAATTGTTTATATTTTTATATATATTTTTAATATGTGTAAATATTTTTATATATTTTCTTTCTTTAATACGAGGACTAATTTAATCTGTATAACGAAAACATGCTAAGAAGTTTCTCTACATAATATAAGGATTTGACCAAATATTGAGAATAAATCGAAAAAAGTGTGAAATGCCAATTTGAACCGAGCACTAGTTATACATGTGCGAATTTATTTTATTGAAGGTTTACATAAATGTCATCAATATAAACGTTTCGATCCTCAGTTTTAGATTCTCTTCAGTACATAAATTCATAATAAAATAACATATGATAGTGAAATAATATAGTCAATTTCTCATACATCCGATTTCAACTAGATAAAGTAATAATTACAAGAACGGGCTATAAACACTCTTTTTCTCAATAAATTAATTATATATAGTCTTATTATTTATTTTTATTTACGATTAATGAAATGCAGCAAACCATAATCATTTGAGTTCATATGTTATTATTAAACTTGTAGGTTCATTATGTATTATAAATTAAAATTATGTTAGTCAATTGTAATAGCTTTGATATAAAGTTAAAACTTACATGAAATAATGTATGTCAATGTTGATGGCTCGTTTAACATATAATAACTGAGAGACAAGATCGAAAGTACATAGATAACATACAAAAAGTCTTAAGAAGTGCAGTACATTTGCTAGTATTTTATTAAAATCTTTTAATAAATTTGACGCTAGTGATTGTTTTCTTGCTAATCGAATTATATTCAAATGTAAAGTTATCTTCTAAAGCATTGATAGGCGCTATATCTAATAATTTATAATTTAATTCAATAAGTTATATTCTTAATGGTGAGCGCAACTGTGGATAACTGTTAAAATACTCTGCAATATTATTTTCGCAATTTTTTTTGCGATAGACGACAGTTTTTTTCCATAAAAATAAAATTTTCTTGTTATTATCCAAAGATGTATTATTCAATTCAAAAATATACACATCGGCTTTTTCCTCAATTTTCTTATCTAAATTTTCAGTTTTTTCTCGGTTAAATTCTGTTACTGCTACTTTTATTTTTCTAATTTTATTCATATAATGATAATATAACTTTCCTGAAGCTGATTTGCCATTTCTAAAAGGTACATATCATTTTTCAGTATCTTCCTTATCCCATATACTCCTTATTTCATGAGCCCAGAATATGAATTGTTCTCTAAAAATGTGATATGTCTGTGACAGAAACATTTCTTTATCTATTTTTACATCTACATCCCATATATAAAATGGAATTGAATCAACAAGGAGTTGAATGAGATTTAAAAGAAATTATTTTGGCTAAAAATTAATTCTTTTTACTATTATTTTACAAATTAGCTTCTCGACTAAATCAGACTTAATTTGGGAAAGAAACATAAAAAGCCTACGCCAGTTATTAGACCACAATATTATCGAACTATCCGATAAAAAATTTGTCATGCATGAATATATATAAATATGTATAAACATACAAAAACACGCATAAATATTCACATAAACATGTATAATTATATATGAAATATATCCATACATGTTTATATATCTTTTTTTCTTTCGTACACATGATTAATAACTTATATCGCAGAATTAATGCGCAATAAGTGTTATATCATTTGATAATGTATGGTTTTAATATTATCGCTTTTCTGTAATGAGTAGGTCATTTGGACTCGAATAAAAATTTTAATCTGCCGCTATTTTTATACGATTAATTAGATAAACGTGCCAGTGACTGGACATATACCTATGTCTGGACACTTACACAAAATTTATTATTATTAATCTCAAATGCATTTTTTATTACTGTATATAATTCAAATGTATTTAAAGATTACAATTAAATAATAATATTACGTTTTAAAAAGCGTATTTGAGACTAATATTAATTTAAATAAATATAGTATTGTATAAATTTCCAAACATAGGTACAGTTACTGGGATCAGACAGTACCTATATTCGGACAGTGACACAAAACTTTATTTATTTAAATTAATATTTGTCTCAAAAGTCACCAGAACTATTGAAATCGACAACACGAGAGCAACAGCCATATTGCTGCTTTTGGAAGAGAAAAGATACTGAGTGGTTTAATGTCAAAGAAATGTTCGTCAAATCACTATTATCAATTGCGATTGCATCACAAGGCATATGCGGACAAAAATCGAAAAGATCGTCGATGAAGAATAAAGCTTTTTTATCATTTCCTATAAGCTTCCCAAGGAGGACAGAAAGGTCAAATAATATCAAGTTGAATAATTTTTTTATTCTTTCTTAAACGCCATATCTGACATTATTTTGATGTACTTTTAACTCTTTACAGAATTGATTAAAATCACAGGAATGCATCGAATATCCGATTGGTACCTGGTTTCGGCAACATATGCAACCGAAATTTTATTTGAAATAATGTACATCATGGTGTAAATATCCTGAAAACTTTTATTATTATTGATATATTTTTTAGAAATATCAGTAATAAGAATTTTATAATTAAATAATA